ACAATATATTTTATCCAGAAATATTATTTCAAAAAATAATCAATAAATGATATTACATTGTTGTTTTGTGTGCTATGTGTTCAAAATCAGTTGCCTATTTTGCACTTACAGCACATTTTGATTCAGACTAGTCACATTTCACAGGCTCTGTAGCCACATGTTACACTTTGTTACACTTGACAAAGTCCTCAAAAGACCCAGTCTTTCTGTTTCTCTCAGGTGCTACCTTGATAGCCTTGTTGGCTGGTATTCTGGATCTTCTTCACAGACCCTTATTCTAATCGTCGGCACGGTCTTTCCAGAATTGCAAGCCATATCACTGGCTACCTGTTTTCCTCTTATAAACATTTGCCTATCATCTTGAATCTTTTGATTTATCAACTCATTAGGCCTATGCTGACCACCTCCTGTATCTTAGGTCTTCGAACACTTTTGTTCGTTGCCTGGATACACCAATCCCATAGAGTTAAGTACGATGAAGACAGAAATAATCCCGTAATTCCAGTACTTCCTCAAATATTGTCATAGAGGCAATATGAAAAAACAGAGAAAGGAAAATGCCTTGTATTTTCTGAGATCAATTAATGTTTTCCAGAGCAGACATCATTTTGAGTTGAGCTTGATGGTCAGTAGGGTTTATTCTCTCCCCCAGTGGTAATTCAAATAGAAGGAAACTGGGGCATATACAACCAAATATTTAAATTAAGAGCAGCTTAAATAAAAAAGTATTTGTTTCTTACCAATGAAGAGTTCAGCAGGGTCAGCCCAGGGCTCTAAGATGGCCATGTGGTCATCAGTGAGTAGAACCTCCTTTCTGCCATCCATGGTACTTGGCTTCTGTCCTTACCATCACTTCTCAATATGACAGGGCTGCTGAGCATCCTGCTGTCATGACTGTGGTACAGGCAACAGAAAAGAAAAAAAAAATAATTAAAGAGAAAATAGATATACCTCCTGGTTGAGGCAATGTGTGCTAGAGAAGAGGAGTCAGCTGATGGCGAGGGAGAGAGGAAAGGAGATAATTAGCAAAGAATGGAGTAAGAAATTGATGATAAAAGTAATGCTGAGTTTTAGAAAGAGCAATATAGACAATAAAATATATTTCCTTGGGGAAAATAACAACAAAAAACAAAACCGAAAGGTACGCAACAAAGCACTATATGAGACTGAACAATGCATTTTTCATTGACTAAAAGGACAATAATTATATCAGGGATGCTATTTTCAATTGGTTTTGTTTTTTTTTTTTCCAAATTTATTTCACCCACTTGGAAAATGTCCAGGAAACCCTCATTCACTTGAATGGAATTGGACTGTATTTTGTTTCTGAACTGAAGAAACTGTTTGAAAACTTGGGCTGTGTATTTATGGGTTGCGTTGCCAACCTATAGTGGCAATATCTTTTGAGACACTCAGCGGGGTTGACTTTGTCAAGTGTAACAAAGAATATTTCAAATACTGGGGGCTTGGCAAAATCCTCAGTGCGGTTTGCCAGGTGCTGTTCCATCAATTTTTAACACCCATTTTTTTAAGAGACATTTAATCCATACTTATTTCTTACTGCTTTACTTCTTAACTCATCAAAATGTTATATTTCAAGAGCTTTTTGATGTGTATGATACCTTTGGGTTTTTTTCCCCTCTTCTTCAAAACAGGAAGTTATGTTAGCCAAAGGGATAAAAGAGTAGAGAAAACCCTTGAATTTTGATAAGGGTCTTATTGCACAAGCCTTAAGGTTGGAATATAATTGAAATTATTATCAAAGAAAAGAGGAAAAGCTATTCATGTATGATTTGTATAATTGTAGATGAGTGTCGAAAGAGACCTTGGATCATCTAATCCCATCCTCCACTGAGGGACTGAATTCTATGCAATGGTCCCCAAATGGTGTCGCTAACCCTGGGCTTCAACACCTCCGATGAAAAGGAACTCAGTGACTGTTGAGGTTGACATCTTTTTTAAAGAAAAGTCAAATTGTTGACTTTTGTTAAGAATTTAACAAATTGTTAATCTAGATGTTCCACTAACCTGCAAAGGAAATCCAAAGAATTCAAGCCCATCCATAGACATCATGTTTTATTCTACCCATGCAGCATAAATTCTAGCACACATTGTTATTATCCCTGTATTCATTTTATCCTCACACACAAGAAGAGACAAGAACAATTTGCACAGCATGAGGAATTAAGGATTCTCTAGGATTTTATTTAGACCTAAAATGGATACTAAAAAATTAGAAACTGATGGTGAATGAGGA